TCGTGGGCGTGCAGCAATAGCACCCGCAGCAGCAACAGCACCCGCAGCAGCAACAGCACCCGCAGCAGCAACAGCACCCGCAGCAGCAACAGCAACAGCACCCGCAGCAGCAACAGCACCCGCAGCAGCAACAGCACCCGCAGCAGCAACAGCACCCGCAGCAGCAGCAGCACCAGCACCCGCAGCAGCAGCAGCACCCGCAGCAGCAGCAGCAGCAGCAGGAGCAGCAGCAGCAGGAGGAGCTTGCCTTCGGCCCAGTTGCTGTGCCTGGGAGCCGCAGTGCCGCACTCGACGACGAGTCTGTAGGCGCCGTTGTGTTTGACTTCGCGCGCAGCCCAAACGGAGAGCACCAGCGAAGGCGGCAAAGTCTGGGGGCCTCTGGGGCAGCGGCGGAGGCCCAGCAGCCGCCAGAAGCCGCCTTCCACGTGCAGCGAGACTGCCCGCTGCATGCGCAAACGCATGCACGCATGCATGCATGCATGCATGCATGCAGAGCTGCATGCATGCACGCATGCACGCATGCATGCATGCATGCATGCATGCAGAGCTGCATGCATGCACGCATGCATGCATGCATGCATGCATGCATGCGCGCATGCAGAGCTGCATGCGAAGTGCATGCGGCCAGCGAAGCAGGCACCCCAGTGCGTGCAGACAGCGGGAATGCACGCAGCAATGCATGCAGCAGCAACGACTGCATGCAGAAATGCATGCAGCAAGCAAGCAAGCCATGCAGGAAGGGCTGGCAGGACGGCAGGCAGGCACGCAGGCAGGAGGGCATGCATGCATGCGTGCATGCATGCATGCATGCGTGCATGCATGCATGCATGCATGCATGCATGCACAGTGCATCCCTTTCCTGCATGCATGCATGCGCGCATGCATGCACGTGCATGCATGCATGCATGCATGCATGCACAGTGCATCCCTTTCCTGCATGCATGCATGCATGCATGCATGCAGGAAAGGGATGCACTGACATGGAAGTGTAAGAGTGGCTGTGTATCAGTATATGCTTGCATGCATGCATGCATGCATGCAGGAAAGGTCTGCACCCGCACAAGTATGGAGATATACATATATAAGTGGATTTAAAGCAAATATAAAATATAAATTGAAATATACATATTTTTATGTACAAATATATTTATGTACATGATAAGAAACTCAGTCTTGGAAACTCATGCATACAAACAAACACTTATATTTTCATATATTGGCCATATGTGTGGAAAACGAGTCTATGCATGCAACTGCAGATTATAGATAAGCATGCATATATATACTTTATATAAATATATATATATAAATAATATATATATTATGTATATATGTATATATGTATATATATATATATGTATGTGTATATATACATGTATATATGTTGTACATATGCATTAATATGTATAACGCATTTGTACATGTGTAGTAAAAAGCTGCTGCGCTGCAGCGGCGCAGCAGCAGCGCAGCAGCGGCGCAGCAGCAGCGCAGCAGCAGCGCAGCAGCAGCGCAGCAGCATCGAAGTTGCTTTAGTGAAGTCAGCAGCAGCAGCCGCAGCAGGCTGGCGACTCAGTGTCGGTACACCCCAAAGAGCAGCAGCAGGAAAGTCAATAAAGACAGAAACAAAAATAAACAAAAAGGCGGAATTCGAAGAAGCAGCAAAAGCAAGAAAAAGGAAACAGCAGGCTGCAGCAGACTCTTGTGGTGAGCCCCCAGAAGCAGCAACAAGTCCGCTGCTGCAGTCCGTCAACGCCGTAGAAACAGCAGCAGCAGCAGCAGAAGCAGCAGCACAAGCAGCAGCAGCAGCAGCAAACGAACCTGCACACTCCAGCAGGACGACACCAGCAGCGCCACAGCAAGCTGCTCCGGAAGGCACGAGATCTCAACCACTTGCTGCAGCTTCCGCAGCTTCTGCGGGGTGAGAGTCAATTCATCCATTCCTTGTGGCTGTTGCTGCTGCTGCTGCTCGCGATGTTGCTGCTGCTGCTGCTGCTGCTGCTGCTGGTGTTTCCGTCACGGGAGCTCGCGCTTGCGAGAGCCTGGCGGAGAAGGCCATCCCGCAAAAGCAAGGGGATCCTACAGACGCATACTGCTGCTGCTGCTGCTTCGCCGCTGCTGCTGCTCCTGCTGCTGCTGCTGCTGCTAACGCTACCCTCGTCTTGGCGGAAAGGCTGCGGCGAGCGGGAGGAGGCAGCAGCACGCCTTCACTGGCGCTGCCACCCCCTTCTCCCGTGGCTTATCTCTATGAGTTCCGCAGTTTCAGCAGCACGCGAAGAACCAGCAGAAGCGGCAGCAGCAGCAGCACAGTGTTGCTGCCACCGCTGCAGTGGTCTGGTGCGGCGTCGCTGGGTGTTGCAGCTTCTTTTGCCTACGCCTTCTCCCATGGATCAAAAGTGGTATTTTATGAACTGAAAGAAACCACAGAAAGGCAGAAGACGGCCTAAGGCGCCAGTGGACTGTTTCGGCTTTCGCCAGCGGCGGTGGCCCTCGGGGTGTACATGCACTGCTGCGCAGCAGCGGGAAGATCCGAGGATCTAGCAAGCAATGAATTACTCCATTAATGTCATATTTGGCAGAGAGTTCTTCTGTCTTCCAGCTAACCTTGTGCACCAGTAACGCAGTTTCAACAAGGCAGGCTCCGCCGCCGCCGCTGCCGACCGGGGGGCCCCCTGCAAGGCCCTTCTCGTTAGTTCATTTCGCTGCCCCAGCTCGCTCTCCACTGAAAACTCAATTAGAAAAGGCTGAGGGGGTCAAAGTTACTAGGATTGAGCCGCTGCAGGGGCCCCCAGCCCAAGCTGCTCTGGCCTGCTTTTGAAAGGTGACCGCAGGCAAGAAGCCCCAATAGCTGCGTACAGCTATAGGGCTTACTGCTGTGCGCTGTGCTGCCTTGCAAATGAGTATATGTTGCAGCTTTCCAGCTGTGGCTCGTTGTTGTCGTGGATGTCCTTGCGAGCCCTCAGCTGGGATCTTCTGGGGGGCATCCATGTGGCTAATCAGCATTTGTTTCTATCTTTTATTGAAAGTATTTCAAGTCTGAAAAAGCGCGTCTAGAGACGCTAGAAGCCCCGGAGTTTCCCGACCAAGGCACAAGCACGAGGAACCCAGAAGAGCAGCTTTCATCCTCGATACACATTCTTTTGAACTTTTGCTTTTCTTTTAACCTGAATTTTTTCTTATTCTACTTAAGTGTAAAAGCCCTGCTGCGGTTTAGAAAGAAAGCAGCTTCTGTTGTTCTTGACGTCTCCCAACGAATGGCTTTCAGATACCTCAGCGAAGCCTCTACAGGACCGAAGCGAGCTGTCCTTCACTGAACATAAAAATGAGTTCAAACATAAAAATAAAGTGGACTTTTTTGCATATTCTGCATCTTCTGTTGCGTTCTGCAGTTTTTGACTCTTGTTCTTTTCGCGTATCAGGAGTTGCCAATGTTAAACCCAAACATCCTGCAATCCTTTTAATAGACGTTCACAACAAGGAGGGCTCATGCGCAGACAGCAAAATCTGTATAAAGTAGAAAGCTATACAGTGGGATGGCGAGGAGAGGGAGAGTGGCAGTACTCCGGCACAAACTTAGACTGAAACTGTGACGAAGTCCAAAAACTACAAGTTCAAAAACTACAGAAGAATGAAGACCCTGACTGCTCCTTTCAGATGCGAAGAAGCAACATTCGCAAACAATTGAATATGCCGCTATGTCTCTTCAAAGCTTTCGAAGCAGCGTGGGAAGAACCGGGTGTCAGTGCACGTAGCAAATGTCGAGCAAACTAGCTCACTACTGGATGGATGGCAAAGAAAGAGGATACCAAGTACTAAAGATAGAACTAGAGGTAGTAAAACTAAAATAGCTTTCACGAGTTGCCGAGGAAACAAAGTTGCAGAAAGAACTGGTGCGCTGTATTTCTCCCCCATGCATGCAGTTTTTCTTGCATGCAAAAAGCTTTGCATTTTGTCCTTTTCGCCCGTATGCATGCAAACACCAGACATGCTAATGGAAAGCCTGTGACGAAAAATAAGGCTCCGGTAAACGCGTTCTCAATGACTAGACAAGAACACCCGTCACACACTTAATCGAATTTCACCAGAAATGCAACATCCTGAAGATGGCGTACAAGACATGCGCACAACTAGGCGCCACACAGCTCTTCCTTTCCGAAACTGATTCCAACAGAGTGGAAATGGAATTGATTCTAGCGGAGTGGAAAAGAGGGCACAATACAGAGAAGTCCCGTAGAAATTCTTTCATGGCAGCAGCATTGCTTAGAAGCGTTGAAACCAGCGGTTGAACTTGTTGTTAATCTAGTTTAGCTAACGGTGGAGCACAAAGTTTCATTCGAAAGTGAACCCTAAATCTTACCATGCGAAAAAACGTATTTTGATCAAAACTTTTTCGTTTTGCATACCTGGTGCCATTAAAACGTTCTAACCATGCATGAGATTGCTCATCTGAGCCAATCTTTTTAAACAAAGCAAATGTAGATTTGTAAAGCACGATTCACTTGCCTACATTATTTTTGTGCTACAAAAACAAGGCTTAATGGTTACTATGAAGTTCACAAGAGAAAAAGCCCTAGAAGTAGCGGTCATACTATTGAAAAGCCAAGTGTTGTCCATCCATGCCAGGCATAAAAGGCGTTCGTTCTGAAAAGAAATATATGCCAAGCCAACTGAACTCGTTTATGTTTATTATGTGTCAAGTGAGATCTCCATTATAACTTCCAGGCAAAGAATTATCCACGATTCATATAGACAGCTAGTGACTTCTCTCTCGATTTTCATGTGGTGAGTTACAAAAATGATTCTCCTCACTGTTACTTTATGTGGTTTGCTTTCCTTTTCTCAATTGTAGGTACAAAAAGGACTCTAAACCTTACCTTGCAAGAAAACGTATTTTGATAAAAACCTTTTGGTATTGCATGCCTGGTGTTATAAAACTTTTAAACCATACATGAGATCGCTTATCTGGACCCTGAGCACCTTTACTTCCCTTTTAAACAAATAGTAAATACTTAGTTCTTTATGGCTTGCGGCAGTTAGAATACCAGAATTCACACAGAACTATTGAAATTTTTTGTATGAACTAATTACAGCTTGAATAGACTAAATATACGTAGAAGATAGATTATGGTAAAGAATCTACCTTAAGAAATAGATAGTTCTTCAGTTAATTGAGCGCCAACAATAATAAGAGCAGTAAATGAGGTTTGGAATAACCCTCAATAAAATAAAGATACCTTAGAAAAACAGTCAATGCGAAGCTGAAACGATGTAGTTGATAGTGGGCCAGTGAGTGGCTGAACAAAAACTGAATACTGTTACAAGTAGAGGTATTTATTTCTACGGCTAGACCACTGAAGTGCCTGAGTGCTGCTGTAGCTTTCTTTTCCGCTGAGGGCCTCTCTATACAGCCGGAGAAGTCAAAGCCATTCTTCGAATTAAACGCTGCCATAACGCAGTGTTCCTGCCAAAGCTAATCAACAACATCTCGCAGGCGGCAGATACATGCCAGGCAGAATCCATCGTTCAAAGTTTAATAAGCAATGTTGTGTCCCCAGATTCAGAAGTTAAAACATCATATGTAATGAAACTGCTTTGAAAAGATAAGATGATGCAGTGCCTCAAACAAGAAACCACTATCCATCGGCTGTGTTTCTGGCTGCAGGACGACCCGACTCGCCTACTGGGTGCTTCATGCAAGCAGATGCATTTTACAATCGGCAAACCAAGCATACGCACAACTTTTATGTTAGGGAACGGAGTCTGCTCTGCCGTCTCAGCAAAAGCGTTGCAGAGTGAGGAAACTTGAGTGTGCTAAAAACCTGAAAAGTTCACAGCTAGATCCCTCTTCGTTGGTCACTCACCAACTCCCAGCTACTTTCCCCTCTGCTTGAAAGGAATTTTGCGCTCAAGTCCTTGAAGCTAGTGGACCCGTCAATCCTAAATGCAAAGTTGCTTATGCTGTTCTTTGCAAGTCAGCGTACAGCTATGGAGTCGAAATTCAATTGGCTAAGAGCACGGCGACTAACATCCGCTATGTAGGATTTGGGACAGCACAAGCAAAATAGGCGAGCTGAGCGTTCACAGTCTATTTGAAGTAACACAGAAGCACATACACGCTAGCTTCGGGGCCGAAGACAACACAAGAGACTGGGAAACAACTACATGCAGCGTCCTTCTCCCGGAGATCTACGCTATTCGCCAATGCAGCAGGAAACAAGATAAACTGCCTTTGGGGCCGCGTGCAGCATCCCATTGAAGGGGGCACAGCACTCTGTGCAGTAACCTAAAATATACGTGCAGCTTTGAGGCTGAGGGAAGACAGCATTGCTTTCTCCCTTCGTCAGTGTCCTCGACTGGACTACTTCCACAGTCGGCACAAACGCGTACGTTGAAAGCCAAAGTGGCTACGTGCTACGTCTGTCAGTTCATTTACCTTCCATATACCCTATTATAGTACATCGTTGCTTCTATCTGCGCTGAAAATCGCCGAACAATTCTCATGCAGTATCCACTGTATCCTCAGTGTTGAACAGTGTAAAAAAACAAGGCGTTTTCCAGCCCCCCGTTTGCAAATTAAAACGACTTTATGCCGCCCTAGCCAACTTAGGCCCGCAGGCGGCTCCCCTCTACTCGCATTTAAAAAGCTACTGACCCGGGGCCACTGCTGTGCACAGGGAAGCCAGCAAAGCGACGGGAAGGGTCAAAACATTCTCTTGGACCTCCCGCACCCGGCCCACAAACACGAGTGCACATCCAAAACACCGAATACATCAGCCCATTAAAATTCTCTCGGCTTCCTCTCCCCGCCCCTTCGGTAAGCACACAAAGGGGAACGGCGCTTTATCCGCGCGGAGTGGAGTTCCAAGCGATGAGGTGGTTCTCTATAAAACTACAAGGGATTTTGGATGACGGGACGCATGTATTTACATGCAGTTTACACCCGAATACCACGGAATTACTTTAAAATCAAGGTAGGGGACCTACTGCCATGGAAAGTCAAAAAGGATGTACAGAAGAACTTTCACTTGAATTTAAAAGAATCCATCATGATCAACACGCCAGCATCACCACTCATCAGAACTTGATGCCTCATCTAAGTGACCATGAGACACTGTACTGCGCATTCCTGAAGATCTTTTCTTCTTGTGTCCTCTGCTGCGCTGCGGCTTTTCATTATCATCAGAATCGTCTTTTTGCCCTCCTCCGCTCCCAAGCTGCAAGACAGAGCCTGGATCTTGCTGCACAAAAGTTGCTGAGAATAATCGCAAAAAACGCAGAAGGGCATTGTTTGCATCTGGTGCCTGCACCTCTCCAGGAGCTCCGAGCAATTGTGAAAATGCGCCATCAACTGGCCTCCCGAAGAAACGAGAATACCCAGCAGAGAACCACCTAACGGGGAAAGGAACTCTATTTCCAAATCAGCTACGAAGCTGCCATCGCGTATGTCCTATGGAAAACTGAAGTGCGTTAAGAAATTGACAAGCCTTTCTTCCGGCCTTCGTTCTGCGATTTGACCGACCTGTTACAATGAAAACTATCTGCCCAGCAACGACGCCATTGCTCAACAGCTTCTGGGCGCTACAGGTCTCCGTAGCAGCAGATGAGCCTGAAAACGAGTAGTAGTAGTAGAAAAGCACGAATTCCAAAGATGGCTTCCTGGTCGTGCCGTCCTCGGCCCTCGTCGAAGGGAGCCACGCAGCACCGCATAGACTAGGGCACTACCAAAACGAAAAACAACCACAGGCGCTTATCCACACAGCTTAGGCTACGCCGTAGCCGTGATGAGCTTACTTGGAAGCTTGCGTCGCACTCTGTCTACCGCCTTTAAATAGGCGTCTTCAACTTTCGGGGCCGCCTGCTCAATTATCTGGAGAAAACCGAGCATGTGGATCCGCAAAACAAGGTGATTAAAAATTCTTGTCCCTGTGTATTTAACCTTCGAATCAATTTTATGCGTCTGTTCGCTGCTCCGTTCAGTACGCACTAAAACGAACAGTTGCGAATTGTGCATAGCCCTCACCGTCCTTCCACCCCAGTTGGCGTGCATCTGCGAGAAACAAACAGCACAAAACCTGCAATATTCATGAAAAATACTAGAGCCCGCTTCGTACAAAACCTGAGCCAAGAATGCGAGCCTTTCGTCTCACAAGCTCTCTTGCAGTGACATCCACAGCTATCCCGCCGACGTCGAACCTAACACTGGCTGCATGCAGAGTAGCAACAGAAGAAAAGCATAAGGGGGGAAATCCATTATACACATCAAGGGTAGCAGTGTTCTGCCGCAGCACACGCGACCAAGCCGCATCTGCTGTGCAAACGACAAGGTATAAGGGAAAAAGGGATTGGCGTCTGGAAGTTCTTGCTGAAGTGTTCAGAAAACAAGGTGTCACCTGAGCGCATCGTCCACGATGGCAAGGAGAAGGCCATGACCTTCTTCATGAGTTTCATAAGACCACGTCGTGCCTATTGAGGAAGACAAGAGAGCCAAGCGAAACAGGTCGCCATCAGGTCTGGGCACGTAGCGGACCGCAGTTTTTAGCACTGTTGTTTTCAATAGTCGTGCCCCCACGCCACCAAGCACCTCAGTTCAAGTGGAAAACTTACGGACTCATCTGTAACCCTAGGAAAATGGTACTTCGGAATCCTCAGCTTGCTGAACCAGGTTCTGGAATGCGAAGCCCGAGCTTCCTGTCCTCCTTCCGAAAGGCCACTTCCCCCTTCGCTGTGCTCGCTCTCTGGCAGTGCGTGACTCGTGGAACTAGACGAAGCTTTACCGTCATGAGCTTCTGGTGCTGCGCTTTGTAGCCCACTTGAAAAAGCCCAAAATCCACCGCTACCTGCTGAACCTCCATCTTTCGCTGACGAGACACCCCCCTCACGGGTGTCATTCTGCCATGAAACACTGCGACTTGGATCGGGGCCTTGGAAAGATGAGCGAGCCCCTAAATCAAATGGCTCTGCAACTTCCTGTACGGGACGGATTCCCCATCTGGCGCGAGGTGCCTCACGATGGTTGGGCAGCTCTGCGCCACCACTTGCTTGGTATCCCTCCGCCACACCCCATGCATGAGCTCCTCTGCGTGGGGCTTCACCTGATCCTGAGTCGGCAGAGGCGCCTCCAACGGCTCCTTGCTCACGTGACGGATCCAACACAGGCGACCCGGTGTCAAAAGAAGACCGACGACCCGCGTTGGAAGCTGTAGAGCAGAATCCCACAGCACAAGCAAGAGAAACTGGGAAGACTGCCGCCTTTGCATGCCTTTTGCTTATCTCAGCTAGTAAATCCAGGCATTTGCCCGAAGACTAAAGCCGCAAACGTCCCAGGAAAAATGTGTGATATGCCATGGGGAGGGATATGAAAAAGAGGCTCTCTGCACACAAAACCCACCTGTGATAGTTATCTCTATTTTCCCCAAATGCGAACCAGATCCCTGCTGTACAACCTCGAACATCTCAGCAGCAACATGTGGCTCTGCGCAGCGCACAGCAACAGACACGCATGCAGAAGCCATCCGATTGTAGCTTTGCGCCCTTCATGCAGCTGGCCTGTGTGGCCCTCGCGACGTCACTGTGTTTTACAGAGCGCAGAGGGGAAAGAAATTTCCGCTCCAAAACAACAGCAATACTGTCTTTAGAAAGGAACCTACCGCCCCCTTTGGCCCACACTGCGCCCACTGCCTTCCAGAGAGCCTGCTCCAGCCTTTCGCCAGTGCCTCCCAAGGCCTACACAAAAAATTGTTCCAACAGGCAGTACCAACACACCAGGCAGTCAGTTCGTTGAACCGTGCTTGCAAAATATTCGACGTATATGGCTTTTCCGCCGCCTTTGCCCACTACCGTCGCGAATATTCATCGCTGGAGAAAGTAACTCACGGCCTTGTCAGGCCAAATACGCCCAAAACTGCTTTTCTGCAAAAGAAATGAAAACACATCGGCCACGAAAGGCAAATATTCGCAACATGCTAAATAACTCTTCAGTCTTCTTTATGGAGGCTCCAGGAGGCATGCTTACCGGTTGCATGACATCGACGGCCACATTCACGCCAGATAGCGTAAAAGTAATTGTCTCTGCGTCCACCAAACGAATGACTTTGAAAAAATGAGAAAAATCCCACCCACCTACAGCGCTACGCTGCGGGGGTAATAGGCAGCACGCCCCAAACACTTTCAAAAAAAAGAACACTCTGTCTGTCCGGCTTGGTGGAGAGCGGAATAACCGCAAGTCTGCATCAGAAAACTGCAGCTAGTATTACAGGGGTGTGGTGGTGACATACTAGAGTTTTTCCCCCGATGATGGCGAAGGCCCTTCAAAAAGTCCATGAGAGTCTTCAGAGCCGACCTTGCCTACAGAACACACAGAAAAGGAGTGGAAGTCCCGGTGCAGCTACTAAAGACGGAGATGAGGATGTGTTGTGAATCCAAGCACGTTGTTGTCGCAATAGCTAGTTAATCTTGAGTTTTCTGAACGACAGAGGCACTCGGCCGGGAGCCGAGATTGCAGAGAAGTCCCGGACAAGGCCGTGAAGCGTACTCCGGCGTCAATTATAGACGGGAAAGAATAATAGGCCGGCTCCCCGCTGGGCTTGCGAAGCGTCAAAAGTTTCTGCGAAATGAGAGAGACGTGGGAAGCGTGGTGAGAGCGGCGGTTGAGACTGAAAGTGCTGCGCGATGTACTTGGACCAATGTGTGCAGTGCTCTGCGACAATGTGCTGGAGATGCCGCGCTGCCGGTGAAGATCGAGGCCACGGGGGCCACTGGAGGGGCTTTCATCAGAGCGGTGCGTCCTGCTCAGGACTTCCTGCAGCAGAGAGCTTGCGCGGTGCGCACTGCCCTCCGCGGGAGGGGCGCTGTGTTGGCCGAGATCACTCAGGCTTCCTCGGCCTCCCAAGTCTTCCCCTTCGTCATCATCAGCCAGTGAAATGTGAGACAGTGCAGTGCTGACTGACCCCTTCACTCGGCTGCACAGTTCCTCATCATCCTGCGCAGCAAATGCAACAGAGCCACACGAGTTCCCACTCTGTCCTGCGATTTCGCCGCGTGCATGCAGCTACTTGAATAGAGGCAGCGGCAGCACTGCACGATCGGCCTGCGTCGCCCTGAAGACAACTGGCCCGTTCGCGGCTGCTGCTGCCGCTGCCGCCGCTGCTGCTGCCGCTGCTGCTGCTGCCGCTGCTGCTGCTGCCTGTGCGGGCATTACATCGGAAGAAAGCAGCCTTGCGGAGAACGGCTCAGGCGGAGACAGCCTGGTAAGGAGCTTCCCGCAGCGCAAGACCATGTAGGCCACGGCGGTCGCCACCAACAAAATTGCCAAGCTCAGAACAATAGGGCTTCCAACCCTGTGTCTACGGCGCAGCTGAATCGGTGGGGCGGCATGATCCAGCCACTCCCTTGAGGAAGCTCCTTGAGGAATGCCTGTCTCCTCTGCTTCGAGGGCCACTGACGGGCTAGGCGGAGAGACAAAAGAAGAACGGACATATCCCATCTTTGGAGGAGTGCGGATAGTATACGAAAATACCTGTTTCTATCCAGTGGGGGAGCAGAGAAACTGTCTGGAACTTAAGGTGGCAATATCAACATTGGTCACGTAGTTGAAGCACAAGCAGTTGCACCGGAAAAGAGTAAGAAAAAAGACTCGAAAATTCCTCAATATAAAACTCCAAACAAAAAGCGATAGACTTTTTGGAGAAATTCGGGCTGAACAATGTCTCTGACCCAAAGACAGAGCAACCAGCAGCTGCTTCTGGGCTAGTTAGTCCCTGTGAGCGCTCGAAAGCTGCGGTCCCCACCAGCTATTGGTTTCTGCACAGTGCTTCACGGTCTGGAGCATCTGAAAGCTCTGACTAACAAGTGCACCATCATTTTATGTTCTCAAGTGAATGCAGCTCGTTGGAACGTTGAGACAGTTCCACGCTTCTGTTTTCATGTCGTAGGGCTGCTGGGTCAGATAGTGGTCTTTGGGGCCGACACTAGTTTTGGGTTAATTTGAGATATTGCAACAAGTGCATCTAATACAGCGTAATTTTCCTACGTATTCACGACAATGAGTATATATATGTGCACTTGAAGCAGCGCTTGATTCAAACAACGGTGACAACTTCGGTGTAAGGGAGAAGCAAACCGGCACAGCAGCATCTGGCCTCCAGCAGTTGGCTAGACAACTGCCCGAAGTAATCTCATGTAAGCAAATATATATTTTAGAACATTTAGATAGAACATGTAAGTGTAGTAGGCCCTGCCTTTGGTTGACTTCTGGTTGGCTGCTTTGGCGCTGACTACAAAACCTGTGGGGTGCGGAAGGCATGTTTCAGAGCTGGGGGGCCTTATTGATTAGTCCCATACATTAAAAAGCCCTTAATTTTTAAAAATAAGCAACAAATCGTTTTTTCTTTAGTCTCTTGTCTGTAATCCATCGCTCATTGTTTTGTTGTATTTCGACGGATCCTGCTCCCGCTGCACCCCAACCGATTTCGAGCGTTGAACCGTCGTTCACACTGCCGTCGGTGTCTCATCATTGACAAATAATGCACTTGCTTCGGTAAACAACTCTATTTTATGAATATTCTTTTTGTTCAGCCAAAAAGGAATAAACTGGCACTACCATAATCGCGCACGGCCCATCGAGCCAGAGGTTTTGGGAGCGAATTCCGAGTGGAGACAAGCATTTAACTCTAGCTACTGAAACTACTTGCTCATGATTCAAATATATCTAGCGTACATCATAGTAGCAAGATGAGGCTATGGCCGGTGTCTAGAGATGAAAAGGGCTGGGACCCTGGCATTATTCCATTGTAGACGTCGCAGGTCCCTGTGGAAACGACACTGCTTCAGTAAGTGAATCCTTCTCGGGGCCCAAAACGCATCATACTGGTAGGGGCCATGCATGATTGATACATACGAAAGCGCTGCACACTGCCAGACGACCATGTGGTGAGGAAAGCTAGAGCACCTTTGTGATATTGAAATCTATTACCCGCGTCCATTGTTGTGCGCACTAGGTCTCAAGGGACTTGCAGCAATGGAGGACTGGTTTTATCAAGGCAAAAACGCCATGTACGGAAACTACATGAAACTTCCACTCTCTATGAGTGATAACGCTGGGTGTAACTATGGAGTTTGCCGAAAAAGCGGCTCCAGAGCTCGAGATGTTATTTTTTGAATGTCCGTTTGTCTGGTAAACTGTCTAGAGTTGATGTATATTGAAGGTATAAGCAGCTAGATGCGGCCAAATAACTATACGGGCTCGTGAAAATCCACGGGATTCTGCTCTAAACCTTCGAAGTTTGATCGTACCGGAGCGAGCCCCAGTGTTTTGCAAGAAGTGCTATGCTGCACCGCACCTGGCGCAGAGCAGCAAGCCGCTCTAAATCCTTCATGCTAGAGCGCACTAGGACTTATGCCTCGTCAAACCTGTCGAGCCTTTCTCTTGGATGTCAAAAGAAAGTATTTCAACCTGGGGAGCTAATCCGCCGCAATGGATTATGCATCAAGACAGTCTAATAGGATCGTCAGAACTGCGACAGTGAAACTGCGTAGGCCATTAGGACAACTACGGCGTCTTCTGAGCATATTTGTAATAAGTTGTACATCATTTGTAACTATCAGAGAGGAGTCGATTGGTTCTATGCACGCTTCCCACGGGCTACAGCAACATCCAATTCCTTGACAGTATCTTCCGCCAGCCTCATGAGCCTCCCCAGCCTTTTTTTCGGGCGGTTGATGTGATTCGGACGTCATGTGCATGCTTTGATGGTAGGGAGGCGAGCGTTCTTGGAATCTCGGGCAGTTGGAGGAAGTATATTTGCGGTAGTGCAGTGAAATTAGGGCCCGTTGTTTGTACCCCCTGAGGGTCACTTACTTGTGAGCCCCTTTGTTCCGCAGCTCACAAAATGCCAATGCTACAGTTGTCAGTTTGAGAGAGAGTAGCGCATACAGGGCTTATCGTAGCTGCGCAGAGAGTGAGACTTCCTCCGGTGAAGTGGTTTCCAAATGATGATCGACTCGTCCCACCAGACAGTGATGTAAAATTTTGTGGAAGTCAGAAGCCATTATTGCCCATTTTTCAGGAGCCTCGCCAGGCCAGCAGAGTCGTTCTGGAATATCGCACTAAACAATACCCATTTTGCTTGTAACCGCAAGCAGAGGGCAGCCTGTGGTGCATTTAAAGGAGCACCTAGCAGCGCCCTCCGAATTGCTCATCTGCTGTCAGAAAAGTTGTTACAGTGCAGTATAAAGCAGTGACACACATTTGGGTCGTGTTGGCTTTACTGGGATCTGCTAGTTGGCCAATAAAACATTCCGTAGATTATCAGTTTTGTAATTCTATGCGCTTCTTCTATGATGCTACCTGTCTGCATGCAAGCTTACAACCTCACCACTCTCCCGGGGCTTGGGCAGCTAAAAAATGTGTAATAAGGCCTGCACAAATGGCAATGATGTGAATACAGAATCAATGTTGATTCATAGGGCGCCATTCAATGTTCGCGCCCTTTCAGCGGGTGGACACGACGAGATCGGGCAGCACTTGTTCTGTTAACACTCCAAGAATCATACGATGCCACATTATTACATAAGCTTTTGATGTTTTTTGCTTGCTCGATGGTAGTGGCCTGCACAAATGTGAGCTTTCAAGTCCTATTGACCAAATGATGTGTATGGCAGGCCGCACGGTGGCATATTAACGCTGAAGCAAGTAAAGGAAAAACAGATATATTTTCAGGTGGATGAATTAAAATTTCATTACATTTTTGGGTGGGTTTGATAATGCATGCCACTAGTGTGCTCTTGTGGGATATATACGGGATAGCCCATAGGAGTTTGCTGCTGCGCGAGGCAGCAGGAAACATGGGAGCACATTTCGTGCACTCCTCCCCCACAAAGGAAATACAGTTGCGCACTCACGTAAACAGTGTCGTCTTGTCATAAAGGCACCTACGTGGGCTCCCGTGGTTCCCAAAAACGGAATGTCACGGAGTACTCCTTCAACTTGCACCTTAGCAGCGAACTCGGTCACACCCCAGTGAGATGTTCACTCTGCGAGGATGACGTGACTATACAAAAGGTAAATCCGAATAACCGCTAAGACTTCATAAGAATTCTGCCGGTGCCTTGGTCAGGCGTTCGGTTGGCGCCTTGTTGGAACGACTGTACTTCCTACGACAGTTCCAGGGGGAGTGCTAATTGGATCGTTCACTGGACCTAGAATAAGTCCCACATCTGTTGTAGCTAAGAGATCTAGACGGTGTGGCACTGGTCAGCAGAAAAGTGTTGAAGCACATTGGCAGCGACGGGACCGGTGCAGTGGTGTACTCAACTGCCGTGGACCTCTATGGCAATACTTCGCAGCTATTAATAAAAAATACTCTTTTTCAAAATTCGAAGCAACTGTGGCAAGCCACAGCAAAGAAACCTGTAGGCAGTTGCAAACGAGGGCCCGGGCTCCATGGCAGTCGCAGGCGTGGCTAGTATAAGTGAGGGATCGTATACAACCGCCCTTACAGAGACAAATTTGAGCCACTTGTTCAAAGATGCTAGTTGACAACCCAAGTTTCATTGTGCCCAGCACGTCAGCCCTTGAATTCCGTGCACGGATCTGGGTGTACTCTGGTAGTTCAGTGGGAGACTACACCGCTGGTGAGTGGGAAGGAACTGCCAGAGAGCACAGGGCATATAGCTGGTATTTGTTTCCAAAAAAGTGAAAGGATTTTTCTCAAAGGGAGGAGTGCTAGAATCAAGCAATGCCTTGAGTTTCGAAAATAGTAAGGCGTAGGTGGCGACTGGAACCTGCGCTGGAGTAAAACAGCCTCAGCCAAACGAAACGTGCAACTCACGTGATCCAAACTCCCTCGTTTCGCAACGTACAACTTGTGCGAGATAGCCACTCACTTTACTGGTAAGCGGGGCAACGGTCGCTTTTTAAGGGGAACTCACAGCGAAGTTGTTCCTCTGGGCATTACGGAGCTTCGAGCATCTCTGCCATGACAAGCACAACAGATGGAGAGACGCAGAAACTGGTCTGCTCACGTTCGATGCGTGGAGGATACATTGTAAGAGACTGCTAGTGAATTCATCGTTTGTCGCCGTTTAGCTCTGCAAGGACGGCAGAGTAAGCTTTCTTGTGCGTAATCGGCAAGGCAATGCTTTGCGCTGCCTGCCACACAGAATTGGGTGCAGGACTCAAAGCGACCGTAGAACAACTTAAGCAGAAACTTTCAAAGTTTAGCTAGCATAATCACTGGACACGCCCTTCACACGCCGAAAAGTGTATGCTGGAAGGCTAACATGCATTTACCGGTGAGGGCATGGCTTCAATTGCAAACGATCAGAGTACTTACGCCAGATTTCTATTATTCTGGAGAAGAAATTGGTGCAAGATCTTGTCAGTAGTCAATGTTGATGACCCCGTTGTACTTCGAGAGATGAAGCATAAACACCTGGGCTGCAATAGGAGATGTGATAAGCAGAGCAGCCTAATCACGTGAGAAA